TTTTGTCAAAATAGATTATTGTAGCTGGCACAAGGTCCGAAAATGTTGGATTATCTAAAAATTTTGGAGTTGTTGGAGCATTAAAAGCATTGGAATATATTTTTTTCATTTGTGGGCTGTTTTGACTTAACGTATCATTTTGTTGTTGTTTTCTTGTCAAACTAAGGGTGTAGTTGTAATGTAGAAGTTGCAAGGAGTGTATTGGTATAAATTTTATGATTTTTGGTGAAGGTTATAATGATTTCAAAAAAATAAAAACTGGGCTGTTTTTTTTTTTTGACATTTTACCACTTTTGATCCATTTTTTTTTTAAAAATTAGGCCCAAAAACGGATTCTACGCGAAAAATCGAGTAAAGGGGTGTATTTTGGTGAAATTTGGTGACCGGAAAGTTTGCCGGCGGCGGCCATAGCCGCCAATAGCAAGCAGTTTCAGCTCACTGGAGAAGAAGAAGAAGAAAATGGGAGAAGGAAGAAAAAAAAGAAAGGAAAGGAAAGGAAAGAAAAGAAAAAAAAGAATGGGCTAATGTTTTATTTTCAGTTGAGCTAGAGGTTTCTTTTTTCTGGGTTTTTGTGAGGACCCGAAATTTTATTTTATTTTACTTACTTTTATTTCGTTTTACTGGCTTATTTAATTATTTATTCACCCATTTACTTCGAATAATTTATTTCAACCATTTTAAATTCATTTACATGGAACAATGTTTCATTTATATTTCTAAAACATTTTGTTAGCAAATTTAATTTTTCTGCGGCTCGTTTAGCAAGAAATAGTGAATGCACGTTTTTCGAGGCAAATTCGATCCGAGAGTACATTAGTTTTGGAGAACTAAGAATGATTAATAGTAGGCTTAGAAAAGTTGATTGAGGAATTAATGGTTAAGTGTATCAAACGAGAGAGAAAGTGTTAGTGCACGACACTATTTCGTGACTATTAAGAGTTGACTTTTGTGCACACTTTATGGCTACCTTTTTCATTCTTTCTCTCCAAGAAATCAAACCACAAGACTCCCTCACTCTCTCTCTCATTTTCGGCCAGCCAAGGAAAAGAAAAGGGAAAGAGAGAACTTCATCTTCTAGCTCCAAGCTTGCTTGTTCTTCATCATCCAACTCACAAATTCCTTGGGTTCTTGCTCTAGCTTGAAGGGAAGAGAGGGCCGGCTGGTTGGGGCTGTTTTGGAGAGTTTCTCACACCAAAAATCTAGGGTTTCCTCTTGTGTTTGGAAGGTATAAATATCTCCCACCAAAACTCTTGCTTTCTTGTTTCATTTCTTGGCTTTGAAGCTTGTGGCTTCCTTCTTGTTGTTGTTGGTTGGATTTGGTTAGTTGAAGTGGGTTCTATGAACTCCCATCTTGGTTAAATGAGGGCTGCCATGATGTTTATGTGTGTGTTAGTGTGTTTGTAATGAGTTTTAATGAAAGAAACTAGAAGAGGAAAAAGAAAGAGAGAAACCGTGAGAGGAGAGCTAGCCGAAATTTCTGTTTTGTTCTCCTGCTTTAAACTCAAATTTTTGTTTGCTTATTTGGCTACTAAATTGCTTGATATATGTTGTATTATGTGTGCAGAAAGTGTCTTTCGAAAATCATTTGAAATGGTTACATAAAACTTGGGTTTTGTGAAAGGTGGAAATCTGGAAATTCGCAACCAGGGTAGCCAACCAGTGGTACTTTGTCTGAACATAACTCTTTGTAAAAATGTTGAAATTGAGTGCCGTTTATGGCATTCGAAATTAGACATTCAGAGCTTTCAAACGGTATAAGAATCCCCTTCTAGTTCATTTTGAGGAAACCGTGGCGAATCGGCAAAGTGGACTGTCCTGCTTTGCCTGTTTGTCCGCATGAAACTGGGAAACTGCATCTTGTAGCTCAATTTTGTTCCACTTGTGAAAAGATTTTTAAAATGATGTCTTCTGATGAATTGAACCTAGTTTTCAACGCTATAAACTGTTCTCAATTCAGACTTGTGTAGAGTTAGATATGGTCTGATTTCAAAATGGTGTCAAAGCTGATAACTAGAAAATTTTCCCTTCCCTGCTGACCCAATGGTCATTTCTGTTTTGGGGTGTTTTATTTCGAAAATTTTTGTGTCATTTACCCATCAATTGCTCATTAAATATTTCTGGAACCTTGGTTTCAAAAATGGAGCGAATTGGGGCTGATTTCATTGGACAAAACTTTTGAAAAAGAAAGAAAGATAGGGTTGGCAGATTAGCTTTGAAGAATTTCACAAATTTTGGTCATTTCGTTAACTGCCTTCCCGCGCGAGTTTTTGCCTAAATTTCGATAGAGAGGTAGTCCACATATGGAAGTTTAAGTGTACCAATTTTTACGTAATTTCAATATCAATTCAAGGCCCAAATAATGCCCCAAAGATTGCTCTTCAAATCTGGAAATCCATTGATCAGGTTGTAAAAATCAGCCGACTTCAAACTGTTATATCTTGTTGTTCAAAACTCCGAATTTAGTTCCGCTTATTGTGTTTAAAAATTGATTTGGAACTCTTGTTTTTTTTTTTAAATTTCAGAGGCTGATTCACTTCTTGTGAATTTTTCTGAATTTCCAAACATTGCTGAAAATCAAGACTGGTTCTGTCGTGTCTTCTTGGAACTGTAACTTTGAGCCGAATTATGAATGCTTTCTGGTTGGAATCTTGGAAAAATGTCTTCTAGGAAGGTTTAGTACTTTAAATCTAGTTTCCAACAGTGTCAAGTTTCTAATTTTTGGACTTACCAAACTCAAGATCTGATTTTGCAAATTTTGTCGCGTAAAGCTGAAATTTTCTGATTTCTTAAGAAACGAATTTTTAAGAACATTCAACTTCCTTTTGAGATTGATGGTTCAATTTAAACTCGATTTCATGGGGGATACAAGTTTCCCTTATACTTGATGTTTCCTTGGATTTAAATGAGAAACCTTAATGTTCTTTATTATGCTTAATTCTTGACCTAGAACTTGATTTCTCATAGTTCCATTCTTACTTTTGAACTTTGAATTTGAAAAGGCTTGATTCGAGGGTATAACGACTCGCTTTATTCTTTAGTATACATTTAAGAATTATATACCAACCTCTTGTTTCTTCACTTCTTAAGTGCTAAAACCCTAAGGTTTTGTCTTTCACTTTCATATAAACTTGTTGGTTCTTACCTCATGACTCGAGGGTAATCAAGAGTGTTATCCAGGAATCGAGACATATCACACGTAACTGTGAGTGTTCCCTGCATGTGTGTGTGTGACTTGTATAGTTTTACTACATGTTTACTTCATATTTCTTGTGTGTTTAAGTGTTAAATGCTTCATATAATTGCTCTTATGAAATTTTTCACCGTTTTAAGGCGAGTATGTACTTTATCATATTCGACCTACTAAAATAATGAATTTCTACCATTTAATCGTGAATTTCTACCGTTTACCGGTTTATTTGATTACTTGCGCATGTTGTAAGCTCTTAGCTGAATTGGGTCCTGCTCTTGGTTACTATCCTGCTCGAGCCAGGACTAGACTCGGTCGGGTAGGTTGGAACCCTAGGCCACCGTTTCGATATACTCGAGTATTATCACTGGAGGGATAAGGCGATGGCCAGACAAACAAAGGGAATTATTGAAGTCATAAGGTGAAGTTGACCGAAATAGTTCCATGGAAACACTGTATCCTTTTAATGTGTGTTTATTTATGTAAAATGATAAATGTCTCATTTTAATGTGCCAATGTGAAATCTTGAACCATATGTGCGTTATGCTAAACTTACTTGATTTATTAGAACTATTTGTGTGTTTTGGAACCTCACTGAGCTGTTTAACTCATTCCACTCCTTTGTTATTCTTAACAGGGTTCAAGACCGAGGGTGCTCACAAATAGTACTAAATTGTTTTCTTTTGGAGATTTCAAGTTGTATTATAGCAATGACTGTAGTACATATTCTTTTGGATTGTATTTAAGTTTGAAGGTTAGCTAATTTTAAGTATTAATGTTTTGGAGTACTTTATATGTATATTGAAAATATTTAAAGTATTCTAATTTTTGAATTATGGATTGTAGTGAGCTTCGGTGAGAGTTGGGCAGGCAGTTAACAAACTCCTCTGGTTCGTCCTTGGGGAAAGTGGAGTTGTCACAGTTTTCGTCTGGGTTTTGGGGTAATTTTTTCACTTGGGCTTGTTTCTCTTTTAATGAGGATAGCCTGTATTTTTTCTTTTGAGCCGAAGCGTCCAAACAACTAAAATAAATGACTCAGACCCTTTTCCTTTGCCCAAATCAGAAATCGAAATTTTCACTTTAGCCCCCTGATCTTTGGAGTAGTTTTACTGTGGCTCAAAAATTTTAAATCTCTTTCACTTTGGTCCTTAGTTTAATTGCATTTTGGTCCCTAAACTTTATCTTAATTAAATTTTGACCCTTAAACTTTTGAAAAATTATATTTTTGACCCCAAAAATTTTCTATTTTTTGCAATTTAGTTCCTAGTGAATTTTTTACTCTCTCTATTACAATTTTTTCTTTTCTTTAATTGCTAATTATGTTACTTTTGAATGTATTCAACTTGTAATATTTTAGTTGCCCTTAAGTTTCTTTATGCTTGACATATTAATGTGAATTTGGTACTATTATTATTGTTATTATTATTATTTCCAATTAAATTAGTACCATGATCCTTTTGTTCATTTTGAATATAAATAGAACAATTTGACTCCATTTAGTTACCACTTCAAAAGGGAGATACCCCTATTATTATTTAAATGCTCCTACGTGCTCCTACGTGTTTATACATTAATTTTTATATGTTTTGTTATTTATTTGATTTAAATGTTCATTCAAATTTTTTTGTATTCGTTTAGTTAATTTTATAATTATTTGGGAAGTATTTAAATATTTCAGGATGTAATAGATAGGTGATATTTTTGAAAAATTGTAATTAGATAGACAAATTGTGACGACCCCACCTTCTTCTAGGGTCTACCCTAGAAGTTAGCGGATCGCCTGTCTGGCTCTCGCCAGGACTCACTCAATTACATTAACTTCAGAGATAATATTATCATTGAACAACTGAACATTCACTCTTAAATACAACTCCAATCAATTGGAAACATAGATTTGTCCACTAAAAGAAACAAAATATACGTTCTAAACATCCATTCTTAATATTGCATCAACTCAAAATAGAAGATTCAACCATCTTAAAATACAAAAGAAAACGTGACTCCAATATATACACATAGTGATGGATCTTTCCAAAATAACTTTCCAATTCCATCCAATCACTTTTCAATCTCCAACTCCTGTAAGGAAAACAAAGCTAAAAGGTTGAGCTAAAGCCCAGTGAGGTTTGCCGAGCAAGTAATATTTAATAAACACTTAAATCAGTACAATTAAGCAAGTAGTGCAAATTTCACTGTACAATCACTTTCATTAAACAATTGAGGAAACACTTCACTAAACAATCACTTTTAAAAGGATACGGTGCTCACATTAGAGCCACTTCAATGCACTACACACTCCGCCGAACTCCTCTTTATAACCTCCAAAACAATAAACACTTCCCTCACTTGGATGGCCATATCAATATCAGTAATCTGCTACTCGGTGGTAATACTCGAGCATACCAAAACACTTACTCAAAGCTACCGTCCTATCCGATCAAGCCCTTTGCAGGCTCGAATAGTCCGTTGAACAGAGGGTTTTGGTGCCCAGTTCAGCCGGTGTGATAAAGTACACACACGGCTTACAGTCATGCACACTTATAATATCACTCGATCAATTATCGACCTTCAAACTCAACTAAGATGAGTGCGATAAAGTACACCCTCGACTTAGAAGGCGAGGGACAATTGAAAACACTTCACAATGAATCACTTAGCAATATTTCATAATAAACACAATTGCCATATAATTGCACTTAGGTACACATAAGCAGTTTAACACATAAATACGAAAAACACTCACCAATTATTCAAGTAACTCGAGCTTCGGGTCTGTTTCTTGGCTCGCAGCTAGTTCCTGAGATAAATATATAATTCCAAGGTAAATCTACAATTTGTTGCTATCTACCTATTATTTAAATCATTTGAATTAGGTTTGGCTTTAAATATAACTATAATACATTCAATATTTATTCTATTTTATTGTTTAAACTATTAAAATCAAGTTTGACTAAATGCAAAATATACGCGATATTTATTACTCAATATTTATTTTCCAATTTAGTTCGAAATTCCTTGACTTTATTATCTTAAATCAAGATACATACGTATTTTCCGAGTTAATAATTTATAAAATATTTATTTTAGAATTAAATCATTTTCCACTCAAGATTCTAGAATTAAGGCTTAGAAGTACTCCATTGGTCCCTTTTTAATTAATGAATCCCTAGGTTATTTGGTAATTAGATTTTATTCCACTACACCAGTCACTCAAATTTTATAGTCTTTAAAATATTTGTGACGACCATAGTACATAATTAGAGGCCACTTTACGTATATAACTATCGTGAGTTAAAAACATAATTAGAGGCCACTTTACGTATATAACTATCGTGAGTTTTTCACTCAATCGTCTTAGTTTAACTCTCCTCATGGAACTAGGTATAGCTGTTAATTCTCAGAACAATCGTAGCTATCATTTATGAAAGCTTACAGGTTGGAAATTAGAAGAAATGCTGGTTAAAACTAGTTCCTCACGGCTAGCATCTTAGCAAAGTGCATTCGGAAACAAAATGAAAGGCAACGAGAAAGGCAGCTTTGCCATCCTCCGGTATTACGATCATAATTAGGGTTACGCTTATCGGATTGAGGCAAATTTTATAGCGTTTCAAAGCTAAGATATAGGCCTACATTTCTTATGAAGATATTGATACCCAGTTCTCACATTTTCAGGGTCAAAAATGGCCGGACAGAAGCACATTCTGCTTCATTCCCTCGGCCGACATCCTGCAATCAGTGAACTTGTTCCCCCCTTCATCACTCAGTTTAGTTCCTACTCATTCCTGTTTTTTTTTTTTCTGGTTAAAGTTTAGAGGCATTAGTACAGGTTTCAACTCTGTAAGTCAGCTTTAGAAGCTAAGGTTTTGCAGGGAACAGTCAAGGAGCCGAAACCATAGCTGAACCAGGCCTTCTACTCGGCCAAATTGAAAGAAACGCATGCAGCGGCTAATTATACAACATGAAGCTCTTCAAAGTGTTTTTACTTGTATATCAATCTTCCATGCATGATCATACCAAGCTAATATATAATATATATTACAGTTTCACATAGAAACTCAAGGCCAAAATCATGAAGACAGCTAGAAATCTGTCCATTTTTCCCCTTCTCGGTTAACCTGAAAAAATTTCCAGCAGATAACTTCCCTCGGTTTCAATCCAAAAATCTAACTTTTCCCATAGTTTCTTCAACTAAACCCCTTATAAACCTGAGATAACCATAGTTCATGCATTTCTCACATTAGTTTCCAATTTTACACTAATTACAGGCTTCAACATTAGATAATAAACTCCCGTTCCTGCACTGCAGTCCAGTTCCAAAATTTTCCCTCTCTAACAGATTTTCCTTCGGTTGAAACTCAATATTCCTTGCTAAAACTAACATGCATCCTATATTTTCAGTTATATTCAAGAAATAAAAAGGTGGTTACAAGATTCTTACCTTCTCCGTTAAATTTTAATAACGGCAGATTGCTCCTGCTCGTAGCTTAGGTTTCTCCTAATATTGCAGCAGCTTTCACTCTTTCTCTCGGTTGAAGCTAATTACTGAAGAAACTAACAAAGTTTCTCTTCCTATCCTTCACTTTAGCTCTCAGTTTTGGTCGGTTAAAGAAGGCAGAAATGGGAAAGCTATTCGGATACTCTTTCTCTCGGTTGAAGCTAATTAGTGAAGAAACTAACAAAGTTTCTCTTCCTATCCTTCACTTTAGCTCTCAGTTTTGGTCGGTTTAAGAAGGCAGAAATGGGAAAGCTATTCGGATGCTCTGTTTTCTCTCTCGGTTGTTGCTGCCTAAGGAAAAAATGCAGAGTTCTCTCTCCCGGTCTCGCTCTTAGTACTTGGTCGGTAAGAAGGGAAATGAAATGTATTTCTTCACTCGGCCACCGCCCATACAATTTCACCGCTGTCCCCTTTTCCCCTTTGGTCATCATTTCATGTAGCAAACAAATGGCAGCTGTCATTGAGGTGTTATTCACCGCCCTAAGCTAAAGGCCAGCTCCTATTTTTTTTCCACCGCTTAAGTGGCTTCCATTCGGTTCCAATTTATTCAAGTTTTATGCTTCTTTCAGTTTGATTATGTAGTACCGCTAGTTGGTTTCTTGGCTGCATGGAAGATTAACCAAAGGTCTAAGGTTGGTTTGGTCTTTTTAATTTTAGTTTATTTGTTTGCCAAGAGTCCGTAATTTTATTATCTCACACATTGATTCAAAATTTTGTGTGTTCTAATTTGCATTTACCTTAAAAATTTCTTACATTGATTTTGACACATTTAGCTTTAAGAAAAGCTTATTAGACATGTACTTGTTGAATTTATTTATTTTTTTCTAACTTCTCAATTTATGGGGGTCCAATTAGGCATTTAAGGTAACCGTTTATTTGTTATGTATAATTTTTCTAATATCAAAGTAAATAAAATAAAAATAATTTTAAGGTATACACATAATTTTCTCGGGTTCTCACACAAATGTAATAGATAAGATAGATCGGTTTATTTTATTATATTTTTCCATTTTAGATTGTAATTAGGTCCTTTATTGTAATAGATAGGATAGATAGGTTTATTTTATTATATTTCCTCATTTTAGATTGTAGTTAGACTCCCCACTGTAATAGGTAGGTTTTGTGTGTTTGTATGGCTTATGTGTTATGTTCTTTATCTGCTTTCCTTAGGATTTGTACATCTAGATATTATGTTTATGTGTTACGTGCTCTTATGTATTTATTTGTTTTAATTTATGCCTTATTTGTTTTACTATGTATTATTAATGCATGGCGTCACCACACTAGTCCAACTCTGGTTGTGGCTTCTCCCTCCACCTACTTGCTAGTTCAATACTAGTAAGGTTCTTTAGAAATAGATTAGTTCAATGCTAGATCCTTAGATCATTCATGCATTAGATTCATTTTTGTATGGCATTCATTACATTTTCATGTTTTTTTTATTTATTTAGGATTTTTTCTCATTTGCATGATATTTCCTATTATATTATCGCCTACCCTCTATATGTGTCGATCCTATCATTTAGAATTGCATCTCATTTAAGAAATTGTAAAATAAGTTAGCTCATTTGCTTGTCTAGATTAAGAGAATTATACTTTGAATGTGGATATGAGTGATTATAACTCTTCAGTTTAAATACCCCATCAATCCCTATATAAGAAAATTATGTCACGAGTTTTTTGTCTTCTGTACCCATTATATTGCATTACCTATTCTTTGGTCACTTACACCTAGATATATAATTTTATATTTTATTTTCTTTTCTGTGAATTTCATTTATGCATGCTCGTGACCCTTTCAAGGGACTATTTTGGACTTTGCAATTAATGCGATTGGTATCAATTAAACTTTTGAATGAACATTTTGTCCCTTTCGATATTTTTTATAAATTTAGATTTGCATCCATTAGAAAAATCCAAACATGATAAATTTAAGGATTAGATTAGGAAAATTTTTGACTAAACCTTACAACTAGTTTAGACTAGGTTGAAAGGGTGCCTTAGATTTGAGTCAATTGAACATTTGCCTTCCCTTTCTTCAATCGTGACTCCCGAACTCATTTTCTCTTGTTTTCAAAGACCTGGAGTTGCCGAAAAGGGTTTTATTTTATTTTATTTTTGTTAAAAATATTTTTTGGATGACTTGGTACACCCAAACTCAATATCAAGTGGCGACTCCTATTTTTTTCTTAAATACCCTTTTAGACTAAATTTTGGATCCAAACTATCACATTCTTTAAAGTCCCATTCTAAGTCCTTTTTCACTTATTTTAAAATAAAATCACATCTTTTGTAAATTCTTTTTTTTTCATCGCAAAAATGGGGCGCGACATACTTTATTACAAATTTTAAAACCTTATTATCCTATTTCTGCAAGTGCATGATTAGTTTATTAAGTAAAGAGATAGTAGGTGTCAATCCCACAGGAATTTAGAATGTGGCAATCATTTGAATTTAATTACTTGTTGTATTATCTAAGCAATAAAAGTTTAAGGAAGTAAAGACAAAGAAAGTTAGGTTAGGTACCACCCATTTATAAAAAGTTAGAAGTAAGTTAGGCAGTAAAATCGGCTGCCGTATAGCATGAATTTTAAATATAAAACCAACCATGTAGGTGGTAGTGTGCAAAAAAAAAAAAAAAGTAAAGAATAAATTAAATTAGGTTTATTTAAAATTAAGTGAGAGAGTCCTAGGGATTAGAATCCTTTGTTGTGTCAAGATTAGAAGTTTTTTAAGGTTATTATGCTTATGCTTCCATGATTTGTCAAGAAATAACTTACAAATATATGCCATCACTTTCGCTAATGAACATTTTTAAGAGAAACAGCCTTGGCTAATCCTCTAGAAATTGCTTTTACCAATTTCTTTAACTCCTTGAATCATTTTTCACATATATTCATTGAGAAAAAGTAAAAAACAAGTTAAATAAGTTTAATAAATTTATCGCATGCATCCAACTAACCATTATTCACTACTTTCATGAGAATAAGGCTGGTGTTTTAGAACTTAAATATATTTGAAGGCAACTTTCATTACTCAATAATTATCAAATCATTTATACTTGATGGCCAAACAACTATAAAATATAAGCATAAATTCTCAAACTAACAAATCATGAAAAAACATAGTCATTCCCTAACTACTTCATATCAAAACTACAACAGCTTCATACTCACCCTAGGTTGTAAAAAAGCATAGATAGGCATCATATTAAAAGCACCTACGCATGAAACAAACTTGCAGCAAAGCATAACAAATAAGAACAAAAGACAAAATTTAGGAAAAAGAATTCTTATTCAATGTCTTGAAGGTTGAATTTTTGAATTCCTTTACAAGTTGATCTCTCACATGTGTTTAGTACAAGAGTGCTTTCACTTTCCTCTCAAAACTTTTAAACTAACAAAGAAACTCACAACATGAAACTAGAGTTAAAACTATTTCTACCTCTACTTCTACTCTACTCTTCCATATGTGGTATGCTTCAACCAATGAGATACAAGGGGGTATTTATAGATTTTTTGGAGGAGAAATGTGCTCATAATATTGTTTTTCACTTCTCCAAACCCATTTTGTACAGCTATAGTCAAAATTATACTCTGGAAATGGCTAGAAATGAGTTGGAAATGAGATGCAAGTTGCAAATAGTTGGAATCTATGATTTTCAAGGAAACACGGGGTAGGTCGCATTTCATGGTCCCTTTTCATTCTTTGTGTAGGTCTGGCACATTTCTTATGATTCTAGAAATTGATCTATTTTTGCATCAATTTGAGCTGCAAATTGCTTGATGGTGGAAGCTAAATTAACTCTTACACAACGCATAAAAGTTGTAATCTTTTGAGTTAGCTTTCCAATACATCAAGAATCATCTCATTTGGACATCTGTATGCTAAGACATGACCAAAATACCCTTGACTAGTAAATCACCTGTTTCAACTTTTGACAATAAATTTGTCCGACTGTATTCTGACTTTTTTACCAAAACAACTCATGAACTCGATTTAAATATCTACATCAGAAATGTAGAGCTACGTTTCAGTTTCAAATTGGCTCAAGAATCATCTTAATCCAATACTTGCAGTTCAAGATATAGTTGAGATACTAATGTGTGTCAAGGCTGTCAAACTTTTCTTGATTTGAATCAATTTATAAAATGCCAAAACCTATAATATAATCACAAATTTACATATTAACCCACACTTTTGCATGTTTTGGTTAAGAAACACTACTTGTATGAAGAGTAATTTTAAAGGAACTCAGTTCTTCCATTTTAACTTACAAATACTCCAAAATCATACCCTAAAATCTAACTAAAAATAGGTAAATAAAATAGCTAATAAAAAATACTAATAATTACTGTTTTATGATTATTGACTTCTCTTTACCTACCAAACATGATCGTGTCATTGTTTACATTCAATAAGATTGACTTCCATAGCTTACTATAAATTTTGTTAAGATTCACTTCCATAGCTTACCAAACATAAGATTGATAACAAATATTGATAATATACAAAACTTATCAATAGAATAAACTATTGAAAATTAGAATTAAATGTTTATACCTTTTTTTAGCTTAAAAAACTTTAGAACTTATAAAACATAAGATTTGTAATTAATTTTGCTAATGATATTTTGGTTATTTAGTAACTTATTGAGATTTCAAAAACTTGTAATTATGGAGAACAAGAAAATTAATTTATTTTTCAAGAAAAAGTAATGACATGAGAGTTAATTAGCCTTGCAATTTGGAAACTTCAAGGCCAAGAATGTCTAGATTCCTTTTTTTTTTTTCTTTTTACTCTCCTACCTTCTTCCACATCCTTTTCACCCCAACTATTAGATACATGATTCGAACTTTGAATCTAACGGCGAGGAAAATTCCAAGATTTTTCTCCTAACCATTGAGTCAACCCTAGTGGTTTAATGTCCAAATTCCTTTGACTTCTTTAAACAGTTAACAACCAAGTGTCATCTATTCTCCAGAAAGTCAATTTAAAAAAAAAAATTCCAAGAGCTGAAAAAGAACCAAAATATTATCATTCATACTTATTTGAGTGTCTTGAATATTTTTGTTTCTTTAATTTTGATCCCTTCCATGTTTATTTGCCTTCTCCTATATCAAATTCCTTTCTCTGCCGCTTCAAGACACTATAAAAATGTACAAGAACACATAGCAGAAAGTGTTTTCTTTTTCTCTTTTTGGATAAGAAAAAGCAAGCGGGCACACTTCTGTAGAGAGGAATACGCATCAAAGGATTCAATTGTATCTTCTTGAAAACGTGGCTTTTTAGACATACTATTACTAAAATATTTTGTATTGAAAGTAAGCGTTGTAAATGTGGGGAAGAGGCATGAACAATTACCAGTTCAACATCTTTAATAGCCATAATCTGGGCAAAAATATAATTTGGCCATCAAACTTTACAATGTTATACTTCTAGTCATCCAACTATTATTTGTACTTTTAAACCCCTGAAGTTATGAAAATCATATACTTATTTGTAGCCTTAACGTTCCTAACAAAGAACTGTTAATCTTCTTCTTCCAGCTGCTGGCTGTTGCAACTATCCGCAGCCAATGACCTCCAAAGGTTGGCCACCACTTTATCACTATCAAATCTTGCTGAAAGTACACCTCTAGTCTCAATTTCTCCAATAGATTCCAAATTGGACTCGATTTTTCATGAATCTCACTAGATAAGACTGAATATGAATTCAAATATGCGCAGTTTTAACACGATTTTGCAAATGATCCTTTCCCAGATAAGACTAAATAAGTGAACATTTAAGGTAATGCTACTTTGTTAAGGCAGCACGTTCAAATGACATGTGTATTCTTTAATTCAAGCCATATAAGTTACAAATTTATTAAGGATTTTCAACTACAGCTCTCTCCCATAAAGGTCTAACTAAGGTCCATTAAAGTGTTATTTACAGAAATGTTTTAATAATTAAGAAAATAACATTTTTTACCTGTATACAAAACAATTCTGCATTGCAACAAAACAAAAAAAAAAAAAATTTTTTTGCGTTCATTCTATTTAATATCAAGAACTGTATATCAGATTTTTTTCAACCTACAATTAGAGGGTTCTGAACAAGTATATCACACCATTTTTCTTAAGTCTCTTCTTCATTCTATCTTACTACTGCATTGGCATTAATAAGGTATTGTATAAGGCTGTGGCTTCAATTATTTGTATAGATTTAGGAGAAGTAACAAGATAAATTCGGATGTTGTATTCTAGGGGCAACACTTCATTCATCTCTTATCCTAATTGTTATGTCTAAACATGCAATCTTCTCAGAGAGTGACATAATCCGCACCTCTCCTAGCCAAATTACTTTCTTTTTCTTCTTTGCAAGTTGTTCGAGTTGCTTAAGTGCTCAAGAACCAAAATTCTGCAATGTGAAAACTTTTGGCAGATATTTTAAGCTTTTAATGGAAAACAAAGTTTCTGCTCTTTATTAATACAAAAATGCACAAACATAAGAATCTACACGACGTGTAGAGTGACACTCTTGTAAACAACCTTGCACATTTGTTCTTACACATATTTACCTTGAATCAATTTTGCCAAAACTTTCAAGTTTTGACTGCAGAACTATGGAACAAAGATTCAAACTTCTGGGATGTTTTCCTAGTAGGAACCTGCTGAGTATCCTCCATCTACCTGAATAACCTGACCTGTGATAAATGATGCAACAGGAAGGCTGAGGAATGCCACCAGTGGTGAGACCTCATTTGGCTCGGCTAGTGGGCGGAGAGGAGTCCGAGACATAATAGGCCTCATCTGTAGAGCAATTGATTCATCATAGTCCTCCTGTGAATGTTCATCAATTAGATTAGCGGCGTAACTAATATACGTGCGGTGTCTTGAAGTGTTTCATTAATGTGTTTGTCCTCGTAAACTTATATACAGTTGAATTTGTTTTAAGGGTTCTTTTATTATGTGCACCAAGAGAAGAGGTGGGCCGCCACTTAGTTGTTTACAAAAGTTTATAATTCCTTCGCTAAAATTTTTGAAATCAGGGGGTAGAATCCTAAATTGAGAGAGTGGATGATGATGTTTGAAATTGATATATAGTGGGCTTAACCTGTGTTTATCCTGTATCCTTAGAAAATTACCTTTCTTTAATTCAAACTAAAAGATGTTCTGTTTTTGTTGCTTCCTGAAACATGAATTTGACTTGATTTAAGTGGAAAAAAATAGTTGCCAAGGTAAAAGGTATCAATTTGTGAATTTTATTTACTACAACTTGGCAAAAGGAACTTTTGAAGGCTTTTTTATTTTTTTTAATCTCCTACCCCTCTTTACGTCCAACTGTTATATCCAAGATTTGAACTATGAATCTGATAGCAAGAGGGACTCTTAGAAATCTCCTGAACCAATTCCAATGGTTGTTTGAAGTTAATAGCTGTTTTATAAATTAATTTTAATAAACCAACTTCCAAAAGACACAAATTTGTCCAACTTTTTAGTACTAACAAATTAGCTTATAAAGTGTTGAATGAAATTCATTATAAAATCCCACTTTATATATATATACACACACACATACACATATATTGTGAGGACATGATTAACCCAATTTAAGAATCTTTTTAACCTTTTCTAAATTTAAGAAATTAGTTGTTTCTCCATAAAAATGTCAGAAAAGAACTAGCAAACATCTATGACTATATCTATACCATATTTAAAGGGACAGAGGAGAGTGTAAACTTTTTGTGTCATTTTTTATGATTCCTATTTGACCCTCCAAATAAAAGGCAAAATGATATTGTCATCTTCCTAAAATAAACAGACATAATTTTTTTTTTTAGTGTAAGCAGAAGAACTCGAACTCGAGACCTCTTGCTTACACTCTATTCCCCCCTACACATAATTAAATACATACACACACAATTTCTAGACTAACATAACTTCTAATAAAGCAATAATCACCAATAACTTTCGATACAGAAAAAAAAAGAAAAAGAAAAAACACAATTCTTTCATCCATATTTAAAAAAGAAAAAAAAACTCCAACAACAACTAAAAATTTAATAAATTTTCTTTTAAAAATTTTTCCTTCTAGATTTGCACACATATAGGGTGTGCCATTCCCATTAGTATTAAAGAACTAGAATAGAAATAGTTTGGAGGTTAATAATCAACTTACAAGTTTTGGACGAGTAGTTTTCACACCATGTGGTGCAACTGTGTTGACGCGGATCTTGTCCTTTGCCCATTCGCATGCCAAACTCTTCGTAAGTTGATTAATTGCACCTGTAATTATAGGAAGAACATAGCGACTTAGAAAATTTAACAAAGCAATGGGCTAAATTGCTCCTTGAACTGCTGGCGTATAATGTATTAAACTTGTGAAAATTTTCAATTTAAACTTCAATCTAACAAAAAATAGTTCCAAAGCTTCCTTGTTTTTTTAATTGACAAACACCATATTTGAAGAGGGATGTCAGTTCTAATTTAAACTTTAATATAACCAAAAATAATTCCGAAAAAAAAAGAGTTCTAAAACTTCCCTGTTTGCTACTTGGTTTAATTGATTAATGCCATTAGCACCTTGTGGTTCGAGTAAGAAAACCAACTACTTTTATTATATCAAGCAATGAAACTACTCATTAGAAAATTTATATGGCATTAAATGAAAAAGGAATGTTACTTTTCGCATCAGTATAAATACTGGAAGTATTTATAAAAAAAAATTTAAAGTTTTACCCAATTGGCTCAATTCTAATTTTTTTTTTTTGCGTAGCCCGTATCTAAGGTAGAAATCTTTGTGTTTTTGCTTTTAGTTTACTGATAGTAGTGCACGTAAGGTCAATATTTAAGCATATGGTAAAAAATGTTCGAAATGCACATTTCAAGTTTCAACTTTCAACACAACCTGGCTTAAGAATTAGGGTAGCGTTTCTTCTCCATGTGCGGGTATTCCGGTAAAAAAAAAAAAAAAAAAAGACACACACACACGTGCAACCTAGCTTTAGTCAAAAGCACAAAGAGGTGAAAAAATAAAAATGAAAAAAAAATGAAAAAGCTTTTAAAACTATACAAGCTGAATCCTTCTTTATATGTCGAATTATTATAGGTAATTAACCACAAAAATTGTCATTTCAATCAATTCAAACATTTTCCTTCAGAAGTTGAGCATGTGACGAACGAAAGACTGCTACTGGGGAAATTTATATTGTACAGGATTTGCCTGTGAGGACCCAAAAATTTTCTTATTTATCGGATATTACAAGTTTACTTAAACATTTATTTACTCATTTTCTCTGAATTATTCATTTCGACCATTTAAAAATCCATTTATATGGAACAACGCCTCTTTTATATTTTAAAAACATTTTTGTTGGAAAATTCACTTTTCAAAAATTCGTTTAGTTCGAAATAACAAGTACTTGTTTTCGAGGCTATACTTGAATCAGGAGTGTATTAATATTGGAGAATTAAAAATGATCAATAGTAGATTAAGAAAGATTAATTGAGGAATTAATATTAGACTCCTGTGAGGACTCGCAAAATTTATTATTTTAAATTCCTATTTCGAGCTCATTTGTATATTTAATTGCCATTTATTCCGAATAATATTTTCTAGCCTTATTAGACCTAAGTACATGGTTTTATAGTTTCGTTATATTTTTAAAACGTCTCATTTCAAGAATTATTTTCTTAAAAGCTGGGTTAGTGTAAAGTAAACGTATCTGAAAACTATAGCCAATTGGGAGTACAATAAGCTCAAAAATTTGAGACATATACAATGGTCCTAAAATAGGTAAATTTAGGTTTAAGTACGCAAGTGATAGTTAGTGGTACGATCGTTATAAGAATTTGTCGAAGGTTTCATTTTATTGCGCCTAAATTGGAAATACGTGTTTTCACGTGCGCGCTTAATTGAGGGACTTTGGACCATTATTTTGGGACAATTAAGAATGAATAATATTTATATGAATGTAAATGCCCTAGAGGTTTAGTGCACTAGTGCAACAAACTTAAGAGAAATCGAGCACAAAACGCGCGCGTAGGCGCACTATTTGCAATTGATTCTTTTCCGCACGTAAACTATTACACGGGTAGCGTTCCTTATACGCCAAAGGATCAGCAAAACATTTCTTATCTTCAAGCTTCATGGTCGGCCAGCTGCTGCAGAGAAACAACCAAAAACTCTTCAACATTCCCTCTTCTAAACTCACTCAAACCACCACCAAATTCTCTCAAAACTTAACTACACCTAGCTCAATACTTGGGAAGTCCATCTAGCTGCAAAAGGAAGGAGCTATCCACGGTTTTCTTCAGGCTTCAAAGGGCCGAAATTCTGACTTGAACCACCATCAAAGTAGGTAATGATCCAACACTCTAAACTTAGTTTTTAAGAGTAGGATTACACTTATGAGCTTGAATTTGCATATGGGTTGTGGTTGTTGTTGGAAAAATTGGAAAAGTGGGCTCTATGAACTCCCACTCTTGGGTTGCTGCTGATTTTGGGCCTGATGATATTTATAATGTTGGATTAGTGTTTAAATCAGTGGTTTGTTGCTGGAAATATGAAAGAAACTCACGTTAGGTGCAAAGGCCAAATTTGACCATTTTGCCCCTGCTCTGTTCGGTCACTTTAATGCAGAAATTTGAGGATTTAATGGCTTGATTGTGTTGTTTACATGTTGTAGTAGTTGTGTAAAAATTTTCATTGAAAAATACTGAGTTTTGGTTGATCAAACGAATTTATTCCCAAAGCTAGTAATCTGGAAAACGGTTTCGTCGTAATCCAGACCAATGTTCGTGATTCATCCATAACTCCGTACTTCGACGTCGAAATCAAGTGCTGTTAGCGGAATTTGAAACTAGACGTTCCCATCTTTCCAACGGTATATAATGCATGTTCTGGTTCCGTGTGTGTGAACCGCACCACTCATCTAAATTCAGCTGCCCTGCTTCGCCGTTCTGCCGAAATGATTTGATGATGCTGCAACTTTAGACTTAATTTCGAGCTAGTTGCATGCTGAAACTTAAAACGATTTCTTCTGTGAAATTATAGTCCTATGAATGTATTTTCCAACACCGTAAACCATGCTCGATTCCGACTTAGGTCGACTGAATTGTGATCAAAACAAGAACGCTGCTTTGTTTTGGAAAAAGCCTAGTTTTGGACAGATCTGAGATGAGACTGTTGTGGTCTTACTAAACGAAATTTTTGGTGTTAAACACCTACCAAATGTACCATGAATGATCCTTAGACTTTCCTTTTACATATGAACCATGATTGGAGGATTTTCATAGCCGAACGATTGGATTTGGGAAGAAAAGGATTAAAGGCAGATTGCCTTAAGAATTTTTCCAAACTTTGGTTGGTTGGTTAACCACCTTTCCGAAGGTATTTTTCCACGAAATTTGATATAGAGATACCCTTTATATAGAAGTATTATACTGCAAAATTTGGTATCAATCCAAGTCCGTTTCGACACTTAACTAAAGGTCCAAAGTCGGAACCAAATCTGGAAATTTGTTAACAGTCTTGAATTTTACCCAACTTTGAGCTACCATATTTTGGTACTCGAAACTCCGATTCTCGATCTGCTTGCTCTGCTATAAACACCACTTGCAACTCTAATTGAGTTATAAATTTCAGATGCTAACTTACAACGTGTGACTTTTGCCGAATTTCCAAAGTTGGCCAAAATCCAACTTAAAACTACCTTGGTAACTCAAGTTACCAACTTTGACCCAAAATTTAAGTGCTTTCCACTTAGATTCGTGGAAAGGTCTCTTCTAGGAAATTTTAGTACTTTGGAAGACGATTCGAACAGTACCAAATTTATCAATTTTTGACTAGTACAAAAGAAGTTATGATTTTTCAAAGATTTTACCAAAAATCAAAAATTCTGGAATTTCAAAAGAAATCCGCGCGGGAAGCATTTTTCTAGAATCCGGCCTTGAATCCGGCCAGTTTCTGGCCGGATAGGCGGCCGGATTGTAGTTGGGATTTGTAAAAAAATAAGGATGGCTACTGCCTCCAATCCGGCCAAGAATCCGGCCGGATTGTGGCGTGGCCAGTCCACTTCCGATTTCGATCGTTCGTTTTGCAATCGTTTCGTTCGTACTCGTTTCCAACCAATGATTCCAAGGATAATAATTCGATTTTACTCGAGTCCTGTACCTTTTTGAAAATCCAACTTCAAAGATTCATAACAAAACTGAAATTTTTCAACTTTCAAGGAAATAGAGTTTTTCAAGAACTCTTTATTCTTTTGATATTCTCTAAACGTTTTATCCCCGATTTCCAAGATAAAAATCCAAATGCTCCTGTACTTTAAGAAACTCTAATTGAACCTCGATTTACGAGTAATTGAGATTCGATTTCGTGAAATTTCCTTAGATTGTACTAGTGTACAATCTTCCTTGATAATTGGGATATATGAATGATAACACGTTATTATTTGCCAGGCGCACACGAGGACCTTCAAGAGGATCCTACCGTGCACACTTGAACTTCCAGAAAATATTTCTTCTTGATTTGCTCGATGAGTGTCAAGTGTATGACTACTTGAACTCTATGGACTTGATTCATGCTTGGCTTACCTGATTACATGCTTAGCCTACATGGTTTTGAAAAATGGAGTCGAGTGTGTACTTTATCGCACTCGTTCTCATTTAAAACAAATGACTCATGCTTAACATGGTTTGCCTGATTTACATGACCTGAAATACATGCTTAGACCTGTCAAATGCTTGAATACATGATATGGTATGCTATGGCTGCATACGTCGTTGGAGTGAATCTCCTTGACACTTACATGACACATGGGGGACGCCCAAACTCATAGGCCGACCTTGGAACTCGAGCCGGCATGGGCTTGGTCGGGAACATTGGTGAGCCATGAGAATTACATGATAAGTTTGATCTATTTGAGAGATCTTGCTTGGCATACTCGTGAAGTATAGCCTTATAAATGTCGTGCGGGCCCGAAGTGGTGTATGGTGGACGGATGAGAAATAAGTGGTGAACTACGGATATGAAATATCAACCCGGTTGACGGAGAGTCATCACGGGAAGATATACGAATGAACTGGCAAAGCAAGTGGAACTTAGCTCCTGAGAGCTACCATATCCTTGAATTGTTTCTGGTTACATTTTGGTTGGCATTATTAATTACTTGCAAGCTATTACTTGAATCGTTACTTGGGCTTGTTACCTGAACTATGTGCCTGCATGCGTGTTCTTGGCCTCACGAGCGTTTTTGCTCACCCTGTAGATTTGTTTTCCTTAACAGGATTGAACTCGGAGATGTATTGAAGAAATCCTCCTGATGTGCTTTTGTTTAGGGTTTCTTTTACTTTATGGCTATGTCTTGGTTTTGGGTTGTATTTTGGGAAATTGAAATGTAACTTTTGGGGGCATGATGTATATTTGGGATTCATGATGTATGTTGAACACCCGATGCGCGGGTTGGATAACGGATGACTATTATTAAGCTTGAACACTTCCGCATTTATTGTATCTAAGTTATTGATTTGTATCATGTGGTCCGGTAATAAGCTTGAATGGAATTGAGCCCTGGCGAGAGCTAGGCAGGCGTTCCGCGGATACCCTTTGATTCGCCTTAGGGAGAAGTGGGGGCGCCACATTGCCACTGTAACTATTTATGCTAATCATTTCTTTATTGTCATTTACATGTCTTTTGCAATTAACATGAGTGGATTATCGGTCGATTTACAATCCACACACTCTCTTTTATCCAAACACATATTTTAATTAAGCTTCAGTCGTTAATTATGGCACTGTTACTAAAGCAGATGTTTTAGATACTAAATACGCCGTATTAGAAAAAAATATAAAATTCAATCAACATGCGGTTTCTAGGCTATAAGTCAAGAATTTAAATTCCAAATCCTCCTAGAGTTCAATTAGCAGCACATTTTTATGGTTTAGTTTTGTTCCAATTGCTACTAATTCCTCATATAATCAGGTCTTACTTCCCTTCCAATTAGAGTAAGACAGTATACGTGTCGCTAATTGTTAAAAGAAAAAAACATACAAAAATTGATTTTCATTAGGTACTAGTAATTGAGTAATTAAAGGTGCGTCTTACCTTTTGAACTTCCATAAATTGAAGTACCCGGCAATGCAGTGCCACCAGCCACAGATGAGATAAAAACAATACTTCTAGCTTCTGATACTTTCAGAAGCGGATACGCAAGTTGACACAAGTGGTAAGGACCCTCAAGATTTGTTCCCAATACACGTGAAAAATCTTCAGCAGAAAGGTCTGTTGCTCTTCTCAAGATAATTGCCGCTGCATTGTTAACCTGAAGGTTGAAACATATAAAGATAGAATGGTCAATGAATATGTAATGGACTACAGATGAGTTCGAAAATTAAACTATTTCTCATCCAATGAGAAATTCATTGGGCAGAGATAGATCATATGCTAATGAATGCAAAGTTGATAATCATGGAGAATACATATCGATAGTCGTGCTAGGTGCACTCCAATTGCGACAATTAATTTAATTGACAAGACGTTTCATCTGTGATCGATAAGTTCTAAATAAGAGTCATCAAAAGATAGATAGAATTCTATTATTGATTCTCTTAAAAAAGAAGGGATAAATTATACTAACTTTCCCTCTAATTTTTGCAAAGTGAGAACAACCCCTCTTGATTTTAAAATTGTGATGCCCCCACCTCTTCCTAGGGCGAACTCTCGGGTATCAGTGGAACTCTTGTCCAACTCTCATCAGGACTCACGCACTCATTCAAGTTTAATAAAGAACCACAAGTCAACCATCGACTTAATTTAAAAATATTTCGAATAGAGAAGTCCCAAAACTCCCAACTATACCATTTACAATTACAATCCAAAATACCGAAGTATAACAAAATTTACACTTTAATGGTCTCCAACAACATATAAAAGTATACTATTTTCAACCAAAAGTCGCTAGTTTAGAACTTCCAACTTCCACCTCCAAAACCTATTAAGGAAAACAAACTTAAAGAGATAAACTAACGCTCAGTGAGGCCAAGAAAATCAAGCAAGTAAGCAAGTAGTACCAATCAATCAAATAATATACTTGAAAGCAACTTTAACATGAACTTTTATTTAAATGCACAATTAGGAAATAAACACACATGGAAGGATACAGGAGCTCTCAGGAGTTATTTCCACATCCCGATCGATTCAAGCCGTCCGGGGTTAACTCTCCGTCAACTCAAGTAACAACAAGACCATAGTGCTCCACTTACTTCCCACAAGCAAGATTAGCCAATGGGTTGGGGCGTCCCCATAAGCAAGATTGATCGATGAGACAACGCTCCAATCGACTTAAAATTGTTCATGGCTCTGAGTTGGTATGAGAGGCACCTCCCACCCGAATAGGGTGTGGTACACGCTGCTGCTCAGAGAATCGATCATAGCACTGAGTTGGTATGAGAGACACCTTCCACCCGAATAGGGTGTGGTACATGCTACCGCTCAATGCTCACGAGTTAAAAATGTTTGAGTATAAGTGTAAATCACAAACATTCATGTAACAAGTATCATTTAATCAAGAGAGAGAGAGGATGAGGGCGGTAAAGTACGCCCTCGCCTCGACAAGGTCACGTATCATAGAGCACTTATACAAATATCATTTCAATCATAGTAACATTGAACATGCACTTGACTCTCATCAAAAGTCAAGGGCAAAACAAGAGCAAAAACGAGAGGTCAGACAAGCTCCTCGGCGTCCACGTGACCACCTGAGATATGCATAATCACGATTACCTAGGTACTCGACCAAGGCTAATAAGAAAAATATCTTCTTGCTACCCACTCTCAAGATCACAAGTTCGAGTCAAGTTAAAGGAGCCTTTCTCGCTACATCATTGAAATAATACTCAAAGGGAACTCAAAAGTCATTTTCGAGTCAAATCTTGGCAAGAACCCTCAGTTCCAAACGAAAGTACTAATTTTACTTTCGGCACGAAAATTGAGAAAAAGAAAGATGGTTTCCATCTCTCAAAACTTCTAGTCCTACGCCCAAGTTTTAGAATATAAGGAGCGTTCACATTTTCTAAACTAATGGAGTCAGAATTCATCAAAACTCCACTCATTTCCATAGTAAATTTTAAAGTTGAAGCTTCCAAGTTTTGAGTATAAACTAGTGAAATTCTCCAAAAATTACTCTAACTAAAACGTTCCATTTTTAGAGTTCAACGTCATGGAAATCAAGGGCATAAGGCTAGGGGTTGAAATCCATTTATCAAGTATGAATTGATGTGCAATTAACCAAGAAAGTTAGGCAACCAAGAAAACGCATCAAGAGAGGTTTAATCCTTTGGGAACCAAGATTCAAAATGAAGGTCAAATGTTCAAAGAGACCTTGTATCCATCCATGAAATCAAAGTTAAAATGAACTAACAATCTCAGAGGAAAGTTGAGAGTTCTTAAAAGAGCATTTTGTTTGAAACCAGAAAATTCCAGCTTTGTGTGACACCACTTAGAAAAATCATATCTCGAGTTCTGTAAGTCCAAAAATTAGAAACCTTATACTGTTGGAAACTAAATTTAATGCACTAAAACTCTCTAGAAGACACTTTTCCCAGATTAAAATCCAAAATCATTCAAATTTTAGCTCCAACTCACTATTCCAGCAAGAACAGAGCAAAACAGTCTTGCATTTTCAGTAAATTTTGAAAATTTGGTAAAATTCATAGAAATAGAATCAGCTTTTGAAATTTATACCACTAAAATAACTCCAAGTCTAGTTTCAAACACAACAAACAGAACTCAATTCGGACCTTTCTACACCAAGATACAACAGTTTTTGGAAAGCTGATTTTTGGGACCTGGTTCACGGAATTTCCAGTTTTGGAGCACCTGACACAGTTTCAAAATCTGGTCATAACTAAAGTTAAACAATTGAAAATTTTGCGTGGTTTGTGGCATTGAAAACTAGACTCAAAATTCCAAAATTCACTGGAAGAAACTGTTTTAAAATTCATTTTATAAGATGGGTAAAAATGAGCTACAAACTGCAGCTATGCTTGTTTCTCGGATGAAAACAGTGAGGAAAATCAATCAAATTTTCTGGTTCACTACGACTTATAGAAAACGAATTAGAAGGTGCATTTTATACCATTGGAAAACCCTTGGAGTCTAATTTCAGATGCCATAAACGGCACTTGATTTTGACTCCTGGACAAAAAGCTATGGGCTGATACATACACACTGGTCTGGTATCCTGATCAGAAATTTTCCAGATTTGCATTCTCACTTTAACCCAACTTTAATTCAACCAAATGAAATGCTTTTTGAGAGATAATTGATACACATAAACACCAACATATAACAAGCATTTTGGCACCAAAATAACCACAAAATTCGAAATTAACATCAGGGAAACAAGCAGCAGAAATTTCGGACAAATTGCTCCATTCTCTCTTCAACTTTTCTTTTCAACTTTCCCAACCAAATTTAAGCCATAATTCATTAAAACAATCATCAAACAAACAACTAAACACACAATAATTCCTTAAGGCCACTATCTAAGAAGCCATCTCAAGACATCTACCTAGAGTCAAGGTTCATTGAACCCATCAACAATCCAATGCTTAACTAGTTAAAACTAACTAAACAAACCATAAGTTGGAAGGAAAAATGAGAGCTTTGGGGTGTTACCTTACTTCCAAAAGATGAAGACCAAACCACTAGAGTTTAAGTTCTAAACCACCAAGGTTCCTTCCTCCTTCAAGTCTCCCTTCAAGCTTGAGTGATGTTCCAAGAAAAGGTACAAGTTTGGAGTGTGTTTTTGGAGTAGAAATGGAAGAAATGCTAGCTGAAATTTTGGTAAGAAGATGAGGAAGACTGGCCGGCCAAAGAGAAGAAGAAGGAAAGGGTTTGTGTGTGTTGTTGGTGAAGTGATGGAATGACAAGAAAGAAATGACATAAAGATGTTTTGGTACAAAAAGTCAACAAATGAATAGTAGACCATTAATACTGCAAATTGAGTTTAATTTAACTCACTTACCTCTAATCCCTCAACTAATTTTTCTTAGTCCACTATTGATCGTCCTTAATTCTCCAAAATCACTGCACTTTCAAACCGAATTTTGCCTCGAAAAATGTGTATTCACTATTTATCGCTAATCGAGCTGTAGAAAAATTAAATTTACTAGCAAACGTTTTAAAAATATAAAATGAGACAATGTTCCATGTAAATGCAATTAAAAAGGATAAAGTTATTGAATTGGAGCAAATGAATAAATAAATAATTAATTAAGCTAGTAAAATAAAATAAAAGTAAGTAAAATAAAATTCAGGTCCTCACAAAAATAACATGGACCGTTCATACGAATACTTTCTATCCAGTCAGTTTTTATAATAGTTTTTATGTTACAAATTTACCCTTTACCTTCTTTGTTCATGTTGTTAATATTAAACAAAAGAAGTTAAAATAAAAATCTAAATTCTCTTCCAAAGGAAGAAAAGGTAGGAAAAAAGAGATTTTTATTCATGAAACTCTAAAGCCTTCTATATGTATGACCTTATTTTAGATTTTTTATTCTCACTTTAGATTTTTTATTCTCACCTGTTAAAATAAAGATATATGCCATGTATCTATTCCTACAGTAGAACATTCATCATTCTTACATTCATCAAATTCTTTAATATTCTGCAATCCCAACTCATGAATACATGAATGATAGACAATAGGATCAAGGCATCAGCTTATTCAGAATAATAGCAAGAATACAGTGTATATCAGGATGATCTTGACGATCACCTGAGTACATATGCCAACGAAGTGCCGCCCTATCAGCAGAATCCCATTTAATATCTATCTCATTAATATTTTTCAAGCCCCACATCCTAGTAAATACCCCTATTACAATCGTATAATACACGCTCATACATATAATTTAACAAAACTTCTATATTTCATACATTTCAAAAATGCTTTGAAAAATATTTGTACTTTTCAATTAATTGTTTAAACCATGTAATAAACTTTTGGCGTATTATTCTTCACAAATTATACTCAAATTTTGAAAAAATTTTAAAATTTGAGTAAGGACAATGACTTATTTTCCTAATTACATACAAATTAACAGCAACATATAAGATAGTTCTCTAAATTTATAAGTATAAAAGTGAAAATTATAATAAACTTAATGTCTCATACATAAGGATAAGAATTTAAATTTATTCAAATATAGCATAATCTTTGAATAATATAGTAATTTTAACAGTATTTTTAGTTCCGTAACTTTCAAATATATTCATACTATTCACGTACAAATTAATATGCATAATTATACTGAA